TGGCAGAGGAGTATGAAGGAGATCACGAAACTCTTGGGTGCTGTCGGTGCTACTCGCCTTCCAGGATGGGGACCGCGTGATCCTCACTGTGCCTGGTTGGAGACACTACAAGATATGGCTGCCAACCGATGTCAGTGGCGTTCTTGTTGTCAGTTTCTGTCCAGATTGCCTGAGTGAATGTCTGGAGGTGTAGGCACCTCGGAATGATTGTGTTAAGCTAGCACTAAGTCCCCCCCATCCACCTTTATTCTTTTCTTTACAATAAGGCTTTCAAATAAGTCATGGCTGTACGGCAGTGAAGCATTGGTGTTGAGCACTGATGTCATGCTGTCGTTGATGATGTGATGGATGATTTGGGTTTTGCTTTTAATACACTTAATGCGCTTTTAATGACTTCTAATGGAAGCACCAGCCTGGGGGAGTCATAGAACTGACCAATGATGATGATGATGATTTGGGTTTTGCTTTTAATACACTTAATGCGCTTTTAATGACTTCTAATGGAAGCACCAGCCTGGGGGAGTCATAATGGGAACTGACCATTAATACATTTGGCGGACAGAAACTTACGGAGTCTGTCGAATTCAACCAGCATCGATAGTTGGTACAATATCACCGCCACCACCACTAACAACAACGGCAGTTTGGGGCGGATACCTGACGCCGATCAAATCACCAACCCAGAAACTACGTATCCAAACATCACCGCGCATCAATTCGTGGTTGTTACGCTGTTAATTACCAGTCTTCTGTATCTCTACCTGATACAGCTGTGACCTCGATCACGGAGTTCAGAGTTGACTTACTCTTTCGTCACCTTTTGACTACTCTTCAAAACTGATTTCTCCAATCGAGATAAGTTGGATTAAGTTGGATTACTGCTGTCAAAACTGGGCCCACCAGGACTCGAAGTGACCCAATATATGAGGCGCAGATTTACTGTCTGGTAGCTTTGTGGGTACACTAAGCCCCGGCATATCGACTGCTCCTCACCACAAAATGGCACGCCTCATCGACTTAATGCACGAGACTGCTATGATCGGTCAGTCACCTGCCGCTTTCAGTAATTGCGTCTGTACGGTCAATTTCACTGTCCCATGGAAGTCCGAGGACAAAGCCGGTGGAAAACGAATCAAACCTCCCACAGTTTGCTGGCATTGCGGCGAGTGTTACTTCATTATTGGCGGTTTAGGCGTCGAATATGTGCCAGGTGCAGCTTCCGTGGCCAAAAAGATCTGTGTCGATCCCAGATTCTGCAACCGCCATCACGCCACCCTGCAGCCTATGAGTGGTGGTCCAACTCAGTGACCGCCAGATTCAAAGTTGACTTCTGTTGCAGAAGGAATTTTTCAACACCCTGGTTCCTCCATTTATAGGCTGATAGGGTTTTGAAATGACGCTGTTCAGTGAATGAACGTGCTGACAAATTGGCAAGCTCCAGATGGAGTCGACTGAATCTGAAGCCTGCATTGCGTCCGAGATGAACCGAAATGGACTAGCAGGGTTGATTACTCCTAAGGTTTCAAAATAAAATGAATAACACTTCCGAAAGAAGTACGGGAGCTGGGATGCTGCCGGGTTGCCCAAGCCTAGATGGGGGAAGTCGAGAAGCAGAGGTCGGTTTCGAACCACACCATTTGGTCAGCAAATTCGCGTTCTAACCACTTAAGCCATCTTCAATAGTCTGAAATCGCGTGCTGTCTGTTGTCATGTCCCAAACTTGATATCGTATTGTATTAATAAAATGAAACATCTGGAATGGCTGACCAATTCTACTTGCACCCGGGATGACTCCACACGCATACATTTTTAAGCGTTCACTCGAGCCCCCCACCTGGAACGCGGTGTAGGACTTGTGTGTTGCACAAAGGCGAAAGCCGGGTGATCTCCTCGCTCTCGGACCAGTTTTTAGGCCGGAACGGCCAATACCGTCTGCCGCTCCCTGCTGTTTTTCACTCTATGAGAATTCCGATATATAGCACTAGTTGTTTTCACTGATAGGTCACTGACACTAGCATATGAGTTGCGTCACTGTCAGACTGGACCTCACAGTGGTCTGACACTTACTGCACCTCAGCTATTTTGGGTGGTGTCTGTGTCCGCGCATCAATTCGTGGTTGTTACGCTGTTAATTACCAGTCTTCTGTATCTCTACCTGATACAGCTGTGACCTCGATCACGGAGTTCAGAGTTGACTTACTCTTTCGTCACCTTTTGACTACTCTTCAAAACTGATTTCTCCAATCGAGATAAGTTGGATTAAGTTGGATTACTGCTGTCAAAACTGGGCCCACCAGGACTCGAAGTGACCCAATATATGAGGCGCAGATTTACTGTCTGGTAGCTTTGTGGGTACACTAAGCCCCGGCATATCGACTGCTCCTCACCACAAAATGGCACGCCTCATCGACTTAATGCACGAGACTGCTATGATCGGTCAGTCACCTGCCGCTTTCAGTAATTGCGTCTGTACGGTCAATTTCACTGTCCCATGGAAGTCCGAGGACAAAGCCGGTGGAAAACGAATCAAACCTCCCACAGTTTGCTGGCATTGCGGCGAGTGTTACTTCATTATTGGCGGTTTAGGCGTCGAATATGTGCCAGGTGCAGCTTCCGTGGCCAAAAAGATCTGTGTCGATCCCAGATTCTGCAACCGCCATCACGCCACCCTGCAGCCTATGAGTGGTGGTCCAACTCAGTGACCGCCAGATTCAAAGTTGACTTCTGTTGCAGAAGGAATTTTTCAACACCCTGGTTCCTCCATTTATAGGCTGATAGGGTTTTGAAATGACGCTGTTCAGTGAATGAACGTGCTGACAAATTGGCAAGCTCCAGATGGAGTCGACTGAATCTGAAGCCTGCATTGCGTCCGAGATGAACCGAAATGGACTAGCAGGGTTGATTACTCCTAAGGTTTCAAAATAAAATGAATAACACTTCCGAAAGAAGTACGGGAGCTGGGATGCTGCCGGGTTGCCCAAGCCTAGATGGGGGAAGTCGAGAAGCAGAGGTCGGTTTCGAACCACACCATTTGGTCAGCAAATTCGCGTTCTAACCACTTAAGCCATCTTCAATAGTCTGAAATCGCGTGCTGTCTGTTGTCATGTCCCAAACTTGATATCGTATTGTATTAATAAAATGAAACATCTGGAATGGCTGACCAATTCTACTTGCACCCGGGATGACTCCACACGCATACATTTTTAAGCGTTCACTCGAGCCCCCCACCTGGAACGCGGTGTAGGACTTGTGTGTTGCACAAAGGCGAAAGCCGGGTGATCTCCTCGCTCTCGGACCAGTTTTTAGGCCGGAACGGCCAATACCGTCTGCCGCTCCCTGCTGTTTTTCACTCTATGAGAATTCCGATATATAGCACTAGTTGTTTTCACTGATAGGTCACTGACACTAGCATATGAGTTGCGTCACTGTCAGACTGGACCTCACAGTGGTCTGACACTTACTGCACCTCAGCTATTTTGGGTGGTGTCTGTGTAACACATCGGGTCTCATACCAGTTTGGTCGATGGTTAGAGGTCTGACGAACACAGTTTCCTGGTCCTCCAGGCACATGTGTAGTGAATTTGTAAGTAAAAAGTGAAATGCACTTCCAGCCGAATGCCCCTGACTTGCAGTCAGCCTTTCGAGCCGGAGGCCCTGGTTGAGGACCTCATCCTTCTTTCCTGGTCCTCCAGGCACATGTGTAGTGAATTGTGCTGTAAAAAGTGAAATGCACTTCCAGCCGAATGCCCCTGACTTGCAGTCAGCCTTTCGAGCCGGAGGCCCTGGTTGAGGACCCTAATCATCCTTCTGTCTAGGTCTGGATGACCTGACAGCATCCCAGCACACATGCAACCATGAGTTTCATAAATGCAAATGAACTCATGCTACATCGGCTGTCGCGTGGTGCCATTAGCCGGGTCGCCTTACTCGCTGCATACCTCAGGGTGCGTAAACGAAAACACTACTGCCGACGCCTCCCTTCTTTTTCTTTCACAAGTTTTCTCCTTCAAACACCCCATTAATAACTCTCCTTGTATGCCTAGCACTTGGGACTGACGACTCCGTTCGTCCTGCATGAGTTTTGCAAGCAACATCTGCGTGCCATCCGGCATCTCGGAACCAATCTTGGAATCTCGACACCCACTTTATCTGGTTGCCTACAATGTCCGTACTCTGAAGAAAGCAGGATAACAAGCTGTCTTTCACACTGGACCTGATTGGAATTTATGTATGTTGTGTATCAGAAACAAATTCAAGATACAAGGGTAGTGGTTGAGCTATATCAGGAAGGTCAGATTTCTGAAAGTAACCACTGATTGCCCGACATCTACTGAGACCCTCAACTCCACGGGGTGCTGGTCAGCCAGACAACGCCCTCTCAGTATGCAGTGCGTTTCAGCCTTTTGTCAAAGCCAGATAGCGTGAGTCAGCGTTGACCAAGGTCAGACTGTACCCCCAATAAAACAGGTTAAGGCCGTTGTATTTTTGCACTCACGCTCTCGCACTCGCTTGTTCGTAATAAAGCTGTTGTGTTCCTTATCGACGATTCTTTTGCCGGTACTAGGCACTAGAGCGGGAACAGTAGTCAGATAACAAGCTAAGCGCCCCACCACACTATTCGCTTCCGGCCGCGCACCTCTGACGATCCAGAGGCTGCTGCGGCAGAATGTGCAGCGGTCGGTATCATCTTAAGTCACCGGGCGGAAGGATCTTTGCTTGACTGGATACCCGTTGATAGTCGCCTGTGTGTGGTTCGTCTGGCAACACCTCTGAGGGAGTCTCAGGGGGGGGGGAATCGGTCACTGTC